AGAGAGAGAGAGAGAGAGAGAGAGAGAGAGAGAGAGAGAGAGAGAGAGAGAGAGAGAGAGACGTATCTGGTGGAGTGTGAATGCTGAAAAGGACAGTATCTATGAATGGAACCCCTTGAAAAGATTTCCGGTTCCGAAGTCGAATGAGACCATGACATTCCTGTTTGGCCAACTTGCTGCCTGCGTATATCTCTGATTGGAAAGTTCATGCCAATGTTCTTTGATGCAATGCAACGGATGTAGGTTGTGAAGAAGGAAATATGGCAGGGCCGAAGGCGGGCCAAGTTGTCCTACAAAGATTTTTCTGCCGAAGGTCAGAGATCCTCTGTTTCTTTGGGTGACAAAAAAACTCTTTTTTTTGAAATGGAACTGAGAATCCATGCATGCACATCGCTCCTTGCAAACCCTTTTACTTTGTTCCCCCCGCTTCCTTCCTCCTGCCCTCCTCCTCCCCCGACCCCCCCCCTTACGAGGCACCGTGTGTCTGTGCGAGTGTGGTTGTGCAGAGGGAGTTTGTGTTGGTGGTTGAGGGAAAGTCGATCACTATGTGATCCATCCAGTACTTCATTGTAGAAAGTCTTTTGCGGTTTCTTGGTCCCAGGCGGTCCCAGATGGTCCCAGGTGGTCCCAGGTGGTCCCAGATGGTCCAAGGTGGTCCCAGATGGTCCCAGATGGTCGGGAAGGCAAGACTGAAAGAATATGAAGATAGTCATTCTTCAATCTGGTGAAGAAGGAGAAACCGCATGGTACGGTTTTGGAAGTTTGAGCTAAAACAGGTTAAAGCAAGACAATGGAGAAACTTGAGGGCTATGGTTGTCAATTTGCTAAACCATCTTCTTGTTGCCCCAAGAATGACACCCCACCATCTTGTGGGGAATCTCTGCCCAGGGTAGGGACGTGGGGTAGTTTATGGTGCTGCTTGGCGGCATAGTGTGGCTGAGGTGGGTGGTACTGCGTGGTCTCGCGGATGGCTATCTTCGATCGACTGTGTTGTGCAAATGTCCGGAGCGCGTGGTTCGTTGAATCTGACACATGGAATGCTGTTAAGGTTCCATGTTTGTCACAAAAACCTAAAGCTGCCAGGATGTAAATCATTTTCCGCATATCAACGAGTTAAGTAATGTGACCTGCATGTTGTCAGGGTTTTTGTAGGAAAGACTACCGTCTTCACCCGAATAGAATGCCCGGTCATTATACCTGTATTTGGTGCAACTTGCAGACCATGTACAGCGATAATGACCGGGCGTTTTATTCGGCTGAAGACGGTGGTAGCAACAGGAAGGACACATTATTGTGTACACTCTTGAGACCGGCGTAGTACGGGAAAAATGACGAGACCAGGCCCCACGATTGACATGCAAGCTGACGGTTTGGAATGAGTTTCGAGTCTTTTGACTCTTGATGATGTACCCTACCCTTTGGGCATGTGCCAGGTCTCTATCCTTTATTCGTAAACAAGGTCAGAAAGGACATAAACCCCTGCTGGAGCCATCTCTCTCTTTCGTTCTCTCCGCTTCCCTGTTTCTGTTTGTCTATTGTCTTTGACCGGTCTTCTCTCTTTCTTTTTGTTTTTTTGACTGATCTTCCATCTTTCTTTTTGTATTTTTTGACTGATTTAAGATTCTCAAGCTATGCTGAAGGGACTCTTCCCTCACCTGGCAGACGACCTTCGACAAGTCATACAAAGCATACCCGAAGGATGGGAGACTTTAGTCAACAGAGGATTTCACATGGAAACTGGGCGAACGAGGTTCCTTATTCAAGATCCACACACAACCAGCAAAAGCCTATCAATTCTCCCACAGACTTCCGAACCGATCCCACCTGACAGTCTCTTCTTGGCATTTCCAATAAATTACCATGACAGAAACATGCCAGAAGCTGTAAACAACGAGGTAAAATTTCCATGACTGAACAAGGAAGTTACTCTAGACACCACCTTGTTCAGTTAGGGTTTCCTTTTTCAAGATCCACAACCAACAAAAGCCTATCAATTCTCCCACAGACTTCCGAACAGATCCCACCAGAGGGTCTCTTCGTGGCATTTCCAATAAAAAAAAAACTTGACAGAGGTAAAATTTCCATGACTGAACAAGGAGCTTACTCTAGACACCACCGTGTTCAGTTAAATCAGGAAAACAAAAAATAAAATTCCATGGCTGAACAAGGAAGTTACTCTAGATTCCACAGGGATACCGTCGTTGGAACATCTTTAGAATAAGATAAGAAGACGGCCATAACAGACCTTGAGTTTGACCCTGTAGAATGAACCAGGCTAGCGGGACCAGGGAGAAGAAACAGGTTCCCCCAGTCCTACTTGTCACTACACACTAGTACACAGTGAAATGAGGTTACTCGATGCCAGGGGAGAAAAAAAGAAAAAGAAGAAAGGTTGTCCTTTGCGATGTCCGTTAAAATTGCAACGATACAGAGAAGATTAGCGTGAAAAAAAAAAGAAAGCAAGAGGTTACTCGATGCTTCTGAAGACGAAGAACCCAGAACCTGCGATAAGTAAAAGGTGGAAAAAAGGATCCCTGGCAGACGCCAATCATCCCATGGCGTACAGAGCACTGTGCGAGAGCTACCGTCTTCACCGGTAGAACGCCCGGTCATTATAGCCGTATTTGGTACAATGTTCGGTCCGGATGCAGCTATAATGACAGGGCGTTCTATTGGGGTGAAGACGGTAGTGAGTGACCTCTGGGCCCCGCCTCCGTTCTCCTCCTTCCGAGAACAAATCCCCTCCAACTTCTCGTATGGATGAACATCCCCTCCTCGTATCGAAAGACCAAAAGGTTGTAGGGGACTAAGGCCAGAGGGTCTGGCGGCGCCTGTGGTCGCCCCTTCGATCTCTGCATGTGGCATATGAAAAAAGCTTGCAGTCCAGAGTGGGGGATTAGTTTGAGAATCCGTTTGTCTCAGATTGTTCGCTGGACTAATAAGCCTCAATAAGGTCAATTAGGGGAATGAATTAAGTATAGGGTAGCCTGCTATTCATTCCGCGGGTTAGGCTAGGCTGTGGTGCCGTGTTGTTATAGTCAGGAAGGCAAGATTATGGGTCGAATCACCCTCATGCAAGGAGAGGGAGAAGGTGTGGGCCTCCACAAAGGACCTGATCGAACCAGAAATCAGAGTAAATTGGAGAAGAACAAAGGTGCTGATGCAACCAAAAACACTGCAAGAGCAGCATTTTAAAGTGCGATTTCGGCAGAACTAGTTGTTACATGGCAAGCCAGCAATAATTGAGGGCCACCATGTTACATTGGAAAGCCCGCCCGAACTCGGAAGCCAAGCAAAGGCCTCCACTACATTGTCAGAGCGACTACGACCCAATACAGACATAAGAACGGGTCGATCCCTTGAGAGTTGTTGGAGAGCAAGGGTGACCGGCAGTTGATAAGACTGAGAGTGTTACCCTAGGACTTCTTCTGCTTCTCTGTGGACGTAATTGAGGTCAGGTGCATCCAGGCGCTGTCAGAGACGCGGTCATATGCGTCAGGAAAGTCTTAGTGTGAGTATGCCTTGAGAGGAGCTGGGAAAAAGAAGGCCAGACTTGAAAGTCCGACAGTCGATTCTCTGGCAGTGGAACAATCATTGTTGTACAGATATATCTCATTGGCATGAAGCGGATGCATTTCTTGAGTGTGTCAAGTTGTTTATGTTCGAAACTAGAGTCAAACTCAACAGGGTCTTCTTTCCCTGCCGAGGCTCCCAAGCCTGTTCCCTTGGCTGTGGCAGGATGGCAGATAGGGATGCTTGTAATCTCGTTGATATCTGCTTCTGCTTTGTCCAAAATCATCAGGGAAAGGGATGCTTGCGTTCGATTGGCGTGCATGTGGGGAATATCGATGTTGACCACTCTGCACAGTCTACGGGATTTTTTGACTTAGAATGAAACTGCCCTAACCTCTTATGTTCTCCCGTGTCGGTCTGTTTTCCACAGGTGAGCACTGGGTCTGTGTCTATCAGGTAAATCACACGATCCGCAAGAATCAGGACAAACAGAGGAAGGAGCTGATGATTCGTCCAAAGCCACCACCTCAAGTACTTGAAGGGAACGAGGACAGCCTAGCTGGCATGCAAGGCATGGCTGTGATTGCAAAGCCAAAATGGGAGGTTGGAGACTTGGTCGATGCTCGGATCGACTGGTGCTGGTGGACTGGGCGAGTGAAGAAACTCAACCCGGATGGCACACTTGTGGTAAGTTAGTTTGGTTTGCCTTTTTCATTGCCATGCCGTCTATCTCCCTGCCCCCGCTTGTGGCACATACCTGTGCTGCGACTTTCCTGGATGTATCAAACTGATATTCTGGGCAGATGTGGTCCAAAAGGTCCCCATTTGCGTGTGCCTTTGGTGTCAATGTGGTGTGCTACCTTTACCATTCCCTTGTGCACCAGATTCAGCTGGTGTAGGTGATGGGCCCCCATCCACCTGGATAGGATTATCCCCACACTTATAGAAATCGCTAATGTGAGAATTGGGCGATCCAGGCCGCCCGACGGTCCCACCGGCCGACGGTCCGGATTTTCGTGCGATCTTAAGACTTTAAGGCTTTAAGGCTTTAAGATTGCGCAATGATCCTCCCTACACTTATAGAAATCGCTAACGTGAGAATTGGGCGATCCGGGCCACCCGCGGTCCTACCGGCCCGACGGTCTGGATTTTTGCACGATCTTAAGCCTTTAAGACTTTAAGATCGCGCAATGATCCAGAGGCCGTCCGGCAGAGCAGACAGCCTGGATCGTCGCGCGCTGTAAAGTCTTAAGATCGAGGGACGATCCGAGCCATCGGCCCAGTAGGCCCGTGGGCGGTCTGCATCGTCGCACCATTGAAAAGAGGGGCCGTCATAAAAGAACCACCCCGGCACCTGCTGGCCATTGGCCCGTTGCTGGGCGGCGCTAAGGCCGTACTTCGCGCCCTCGCTGGAGTCCAACTAAGGCCGTACTTCGCACCCTCGCTGGAGTCCAACTAAGGCCGTACTTCGCGCCCTCGCTGGAGTCCAACGGCCCTTGGGTTGAGGGCTGGCCGTACACCTGCTTCACGAAACCCGCGGGACCTAGCAAACGCGATAAACTACTCTACGCGGGCAGACTCTATTCAACAAACTCTATGCTCGTCTCACCTCCGCTCTGTTGCGCTGTTACTTGCTGTCGAGGATGCCCTCTCTCTCTCTCTCTTTCTCTCTCCCTCCCTCCCTCCCTCCCTCTCTTCTCTCCCCCCCCGCCTTTCCCCTCCCACCAAGGAATCGTCTTTGCCGTGCGGAGAGAAGATAGTGGGCGGAGCGGGTGGAGGCTGAGGGGAGGTGAGAGAAGATAGCGGGCGGAGTGGGTGGAGGCTGAGGGGAGGTGGGCAGTGGGCGAGCGGGGGTGGGTGGAGATAGCGGGTGGAGGTAGCGGGCGACGCCGAGCGGAGGTTGCAGGCAGAGGTGGACATGAGGTCGTCGGAGGAGGACATGAAGTCGTCGGAGGCCGAGGGGAGGAGGTCGCGCACTGTTTAAAAAAGAAAAGGAAAAAAAGGGGGTGGCAGGCAGAGGTGGACATGAGGTCGTCGGAGGAGGACATGAAGTCGTCGGAGGTGGAGGAGAAGTGGCGGAGGCTGAGAGGAGATGGCGGGAGGAGGCGGACGGGACGTGGAACTGGCAGAGAGGAGATGGTGGGAGGAGGCGTACGAGAGGTGGGCGGAGGCAGAGGAGAAGCGACGGAGCGGAGAGGGAAGAGAGGAGCTGGCGGGAGGAGATGGACCGGAGGAGATGGCGGGAGGAGGCGGACGGGAGGTGGCCGAGGCGGAGGAGAAGTGGCGGACGTGGAGAGGAGATGGCGGGAGGAGGCGGACGGGAGGTGGCCGAGGCGGAGGAGAAGTGGAGGAGGTGGGGAGGAAAGAGAGGAGATGGCGGGAGGCGGGGAGGAAAGAGAGAGAGGAGATGGCGGGAGGAGGCGGATGGGAGGTGGCGGAGGGGGGGAGGAAAGAGGGAGAGGGAATGGCAGGAGGAGGCGGGAGGGAGGACGGCGGAGGCGGAGGAGAAGTGGCAGAGCGGAGAGGAAAGAGAGAGAGGAGATGGCACGGAGGCCGAGGGGAGATTGGCGATCCCAATGGGGGGAGGGAGGTCGGCAGAGGCTGAGGGGAGGTGGGCACGCACCGGTTTGTTTTTTGTTTTGAAAAGGCGGGCAGCGAGATGGTGGATGTGCAGGCAGCAGAACGAAGGCCAGAGCAGAGGGAGGCCTAGGCGGAGGAGAAGTGGCAGAGGTAGAGAGGAGATGGCTGGAGGAGGCGGACGCGGAGGTGGAGGAGAAGTGGCGGAGGTGGGGAGGAAAGAGGGAGAGGAAATGGCGGGAGGAGGGTGGAGGCAGAGGAGAGGCGGAGGAGAAGTGGCCGAGGTGGGGAGGAAAGAGGGAGAGGAAATGGTGGGAGGAGGGCAGAGGCAGAGGAGAAGTGGTGGAGCGGAGAGGAAAGAGAGAGAGGAGATGGCGGGAGGAGGAGGACGGGGAGGTGGGCCGAGGCCGAGGGGAGATTGGCGATCCCAATGGCGGGAGGGAGGGAGGGAGGCGGAGGCCGAGGGGAGGTGGGCGTGCACCGTTTTTTTTTTTTTTTTTAAGGCGGAACGGGAACGGATGCCAGATTGGAGAGGTGGCGGAGGCGGAAAGGAGATGGTGGGAGGAGATGTCGGGAGGAGATGGCGGGAGGAGATTGGCGATCCCAATGGCGGGAGGGAGGTCGACGGAGGGCGAGGGGAGGTGGGCGCGCACCCTTTTTATTTTTTTAAAGGAGGGCAGCAGGATGGAGGGTGTGCGGGCAGCGGAATGGAGGCCAGAGCGGAGGTGGGCGGAGGCGGGGGAGAGGTGGCGGAGGCGGAAAGGAGATGGTGGGAGAAGATGGCGGGAGGAGGCGGATGGGAGGTGGCGGAGGCAGAGAAGTGGCGGAGGCGGGGAGGAAAGAGGGAGAGGAGATGGTGGGAGGAGGCGGATGGGAGGTGGGCGGAGGCGGAGGAGAGGTGACGGAGGCAGAAAGGAGATGGTGGGAGGAGATGGCAGGAGGAGGCGGACGGGAGGTGGCGGAGGCGGAGAGGAGATGGTGGGAGGAGGCAGGCGGGAGGTGGAGGAGAAGTGGTGGAGGCAGAGGAGAAGTGGTGGAGGCGGGGAGGAAAGAGGAGAGGAGATGGCGGGGGGAGGCGGACGGGCGGAGGCCGAGGGGAGATTGGCAATCCCAATGGCGGGAGGGAGGTGGGTGGAGGCGGACAGGAGGTCGGTGGAGGCCGAGGGATGGTGGGCGCGCACCAATTTTTTTCGTTTTTTTTTAAAGGAGGGCAGCGAAACGGAAGCCAGAGCGGAGGTGGGCGGAGGCAGAGAGGAGATGGCGGGAGGAGATGGCAGGAGGAAGCGGACGGGAGGTGGGGGAGGCGGAAAGGAGATGGCGGGAGGAGGTGGACGGAAGGTGGCAGAGGCGGGGAGGAAAGAGAG